CCCAGTGGCAACGAACTCACGAGCTTATATTTCATCGTGGATTCGATTGCAACAAGTGTTTTATCTTTGTTTTACACCTGGAGAGATATCGGGTGACGTCCCAGGTGTACGTAAAGGCCATAGCCGTTGATGGGGCGAAGTGCTGACACTGCACCCCAGTGATCCACATTATGACGAATATATGTGGACTTAATCCACAAATATTCGGGATAGTTTATATTACAACATTGACATTCTTTGATTCGATTTTACATGTTTTGGATAATATGTGCCACTTCGCGTGTCGTCATATTATCCAGGTCAATGAGAAGTAACCTAATACTATTTCTTAATTTAATTGTTGTATCTCATACTATCCAATCAATTTCATTTTGGAGGGGGGGGGGGAGCGATGTTCGTCTCATAGTACTCCATATAGATCAGTTAGTACAAATTTTTCGAAATATGTTAATTTTTATGTTTCTCGACAATAAACCTTGTATACGATGTCTGATTTTTTAAAATCAACTTATCGATGTAAAATTGGGTAGAAAGTTCCCTCTTATCACCGTGATGGCACCTATTGAGAATAGGTTAGATTGGGTCATCCGTGTAGTACATATTACCATTTTTCGTCTTTTTTTTTTGGAAAAAATGGTTATTGGAGCAACGTACCATTGATAGGACATAAAAACCGATATTCCATTTTTTCTTCAGAGAGTTCCTGAAATGACACACAGAGATTGATGGATGATCTCATTTCTATATCCATCGAACATAATGGTACAATCAGACCCGAAGTATTGGATAATAGACTTGCGGTACATCTAAAAAATTTGCAGGAGTAATTTACAGTTGTTGAATAACGCTGGATCATATATTACTGCGTTGAAAACCGTATAAAGTACCTTTCTCATCAAATAGACTTAATGGAATTGGCGAGAGTTCGTATTTCAACGCTTGCTGAGTTAAGGTAGACTTCCTACTGAAGAGAATAGAAATGTTCTGGAAAAGGAGATTTTTTCATGGATTGCAAGCCCTTTTCAACAGCGTTATGATGGTTAATGAAATCACTTCCAACAACTCCCCTAGAAAGCAACCCTAATGAGATTCGACTATAAAGTCGATCGTGAGAATTGAGCCAGTACAATAGTTTTTCAAATATCTGCATCATCTCTTGACCTTCTGCTGCTCCCCAATTACCCATGTTGCTCGCTGTTGAATGTTCTCACCCCACAATAATCTTCTAACCCTTCCATAATACTAAATGCATCTGGCATGACAACTAGATATCGGCTGACTACACGTGGTGTTACTTCTCTTCCGTGCTGTAAATCGGTTCCGATGAATCCATTCAGTGTTTGTTCGACGACCATGTATCTGGATATTTCGGCCCAAGCCTTATTTATGCGACGAATGGTGAAATATCCTTGTTCGGTAAAGAACTGGAACTCATCAAGGTCCAGATGGTTTTTCAAATCGGCCATGTCTTGAAGGTATATTTCAGCACTTTTGGCGTAAGCACGATGGCCACTAGCACGAGATAGCCCAAGTAGGGTTTGCCAATCGTCAATCATTGCACCAATGCTTGGTTAAGATCTGGCGTACATACTATTGTAACCCAATAATGGGCAAAGATTGATCCAATTCATGGAAATCCATCCATTGAACGCCAATCTTTAACCATAGTATGGACCAACATTGACAAACCAATCATCGGCATACCATCTATAGGCCAATAATAGGCCAAGAGTAAAAACGCCGACGATAGGCGCTTCCATGTTTGGCCGATACCTGGCCAATTGTATATGTGTCAAGCA